TGTTATGTTAAACTTATATTAAAGTTTTTCTTCATTACCCATTCAAGCCGGCTCCAACCATTATTATTCTACAATCTATACTTCATACTTACCATCTCACTACAGCAGATAAAATAAACACAAGCAGAACAAGGCCAAGACAGCTTCCAACTACAATACCAATCACCAATGCTGCTTCAGGTCCTGAAACAGAAACCAATATTAATTATACATTTTCAATCTAATATACGAAACTTATTCTTTACGACTTCTAGCCTCTTAGAGTTAATGTTAGGTTAGTTGCATATATTGTACACTATATATGAAACACAATCACATTTAAATTCATGAGAGAAAAGAAAAGGAAAAAAACTGCAGCCATAACACAAACACCCACCACCAGGGCACCAATCATAAGGTGGGTCATCATGTAATGTGCCCTGGTTTTCAGAGGTACTGGCAGAAGTAAAACCCAAACTTTGTTGGGGTTACACCATCTATTCAGTTTAAACTCAACTTCATTGGCATCACATGATTAAGAAGGTGGTTGCTCAAAAGAAACAATAGCAGCAAGAAATAATAGAATACATTACATCAATGGGAAGACAACAAAACTGTCCTTAAAGTTAGCATTCCAGCCCCCAATATGATGTTATGTACTAATATATTAATATTAGATATTAAAACTGTACATTACTACAAATTCTACAATTCATAAGAAGCTGTGAATAAATAATGCTTAAGTATTAATATTACAATAATTATTAATTATCATAATGTTTAAATCTAAATAATCTACTTCAGTGTCCGAGGATAAAACTATAATTAAATATTCTTAATTATTTTATCATACATGTAAAAAAATATTTATACAGATTTGAAAATAGTGATTTAATAATATTATAATGTGCACAACAAAAAATAATTTCTAAAATTTATTGTAATGGAAATTGGAATTACTTATTGGAGATTTCATGTCTTGTATAGGTAGATTAATGTAGTGGTAGTTATATCACCTTCCCTATATAAGACCTTCTACTCTGTGGATCTCTTTATTGAATATCCAGATAGTAGCATGGATGGGTGGAGGATGGGAGCTATACTTCTAATATTGGTTGGGCTAAGTATAATATTAGCATAACATATTGGTATTTGTGTCCAAACATCATACTGGGGGGCTGGAATGCTAACTTCTAAGGTCAGTTTTGCTGTCTCCCCCATTGTTGTAATGTATTCTGGTATTTCTTGCTGCTTTTATTTTTTGTGAGCCAACCACCTTCTCACATTTTGGCTGCAGGCAGTGAAAGGTGGTAAAGATGTGAGCTGTTGTGGGCTAGAGCAGCCCCATCTGCTCAATTATTTAATTTTTGACTTAATCATGTGAGGCTGGCAAAGTTGAGGTTAAACTGGATAGATGGTGTAACCCCAACACAGTTTGGGTTTTACTTATGCCAGTACCTCTAAAAACCAGGGCACATTACATGATGACCCTTCTTATGATTGGTGCCCTGGTGGTGGGTGTTTGTGTTGTGGCTGTAATGTTTTTCCTTTTCTTTTCTCTGGTGAATTTACATCTAATTATATATATGTGTGTGTGTGTGTGTGTGTGTATAGACATATACACACATTAGTTATGTATTGTACACCAAGTGTAATGTTAGTTTGCTCTTGAAGCCTCTTAATCAAGACATACTTAATATTTAATAACAGAATAGTATTAACTTTTCTATGAACAGAACCACAAATCCAATTCAATGATCACTAAATAACCTCTTGATTAAGAACTGCCTATTTTGTTCAATCATGTGATATGAAACAAATATTTTTGAATTATACTGCAGACCTTATAACACACAGCAATACTAATAAAGAACACTTCTTTCTGATAAATTGAAAACAAGATTTGATGTCCTTAATGAGAAATTCCAAATTATTTTCTATTTCAGTTTAAATCTTACTCAAATAATTGAAATATCTTTCAGGTTTATTTCAGTATTAATTACGTTGAATAGCTTTTCTTAAATCAGTGGTTCACAAACAGACCGAGAGTTTAAAATATAGACTGGTACACACAGTACAGGAAGCAAAATAAATATAAATATAAAAGACTAAGTGTTGTCATGTATAAATCTTTGTTTTAACATCAAAAACAGTTTAAAAATTGAATTTCCCACAGCATAATTTTTTTTTTTTAATTTCTATCATGTAAGCTTGAATATATGAATAAGTAAGTTTTTGATCAGTGATAAGTAAGATTTCTCACAAAGTGGATAGGAATTAGGTGGTTCTAGGGCAATATTACCTTTTACTATGCATGGACGGGTTTCTGTTTTATTACTAAGAGGACCCTTCAGCAGGTTCTCATTCTCAATGTTGATTGCTTGAATTTGAAAGGAGAATGTTTTGGTTTGGTCTGACTCTGTACAATCTGGTGAAAAATATGAACTATATGCTTTATCACCCAAGCTAGATACACTTGAAACATTATACACTCTCTCTCCTGAGTCTGTCATGTTTTCAGAGTTACTCCAGCCTATGTGTAGTTGATACAGGTCAATTGGACCATTGGGTTCATCTGGAGGGATCCATCGTACACGAACAGTTGTTGTATTCAGGATTTCTACTACTGGTTCCTTCATTATCCCAGGTGCTGTGAATAGACAAAAAACAAAGCACATTAATCTAGACTAATAGTAACATGAAATAATTGCATAAATTCAAGTCACTGAAGGGCTTTTACTGCATGCTTTAGTCTTGAAAGAAAAATTATAAAATAATTATTTCTATAGTTTTAAAATAATGGCTATATTGTTCAACAATACCCTCATACCAGTCACTTTCCACCATCTTTCTATTTCTTTCAGAATATTGAAATAATGTCTGTTTGATTAAACAGTAGCCATAAGAGTAAAGTAATATTATTGAGAAATTTAATAATAATAAAAATAAATATTACTTAAAATGCACTGTAATAATCCACAGATCTGAAATTCTTTTTTATGCAAGGAATATATTACCTAGGTATCTCACAGAGTTTCCAAAGTAAAAATACTAGAGGTCAAACACTAAGTTCATAAGGATATTAATTAAGTGACACTAACATAGAATATTGACTAAGGTCATACAAAACAATACACAGAAGCGTGCAAGTGAAACTATCCTCGATGATAAATTTTCAAAATAACAGACAAACTGGAAAGATATTTAGGAAAAAAATAATTAGACAGAAATATAGATAGAGTAAGAGAAGAAATATAAAAGTACTTAACCGACTCCTTAATCTAAACTGGTGAAAGGTTAAAATCACCAGATAATGTAACCTACACTTGTGAATGTTGAGGAAAGGTTATAATCACCAGATAACGTAATCTACACTGGTGAATGTTGAGGAAAAGTTAAAATCACCAGATAATGTAATCTAAACTGTTGAATGTTGAGAAAAGGTTAAAATCACCAGATAATGTAACCTACACTTGTGAATGTTGAGGAAAGGTTATAATCACCAGACAATGTAATCTACACTGGTGAATGTTGAGGAAAGGTTAAAATCACCAGATAAGAACCTAAACTGGTGAATGTTGAGAAAAGGTTGAAATCACCAGATAATGTAATCTAAGCTGGTGAATGTTGATGAAAGATTAAAATCATCAGATAATGTAATCTAAGCTGGTGAATGTTGATGAAAGATTAAAATCATCAGATAATGTAATCTATACTGGTGAATGTTGAGGAAAGGTTAAAATCACCAGATAAGAACCTAAACTGGTGAATGTTGATGAAAGATTAAAATCATCAGATAATTTAATCTAAGCTGGTGAATGTTGAGAAAAAGTTAAATATCACCATATAAAGTTACACTATAAGGAAAATATTTTAAACAGACAAAAACTAAAGAAAATCTGTTTTTAAAATTCTCTTTAAAATGTATGACATCTTGTTTTGCTTTTACATTATCTCAAAAAAAGTAACAGAAAATATATTTTAATTTATTTTATGCCTGAATTGTATGCAGGTAACAAAAAACAATTTACAAACCTTTATATCAAATTTTTAACATTGTTCATAAGTCTTGAACTCTCATACCACACAATTTATAGAATATTCATATCAAACAAAAGAGCTAACAGCTAGTGAAGGGTAAGTAACATAACAGAAACCCATATTACAGGCTTTTAGAAGTATATTTAAATGTTATGTTTTGTGTTTTGTTAACTCACCTCTGATACCAACCATGGCATAGAAGATGCTGGACTTTTTGGAACATGAATATTTACCACAGGCCTGAACACTAATTGAATAGTTTGTATAACTTCTGATGTCTTCATCAATAACAGTAGAGCAGAGCTGACTTTCCCCACAGTGATCAACTTTCTTGTTATGTCCATTAAACCAAATGATGTAATGCTCTATGATACCATTTGGATGCTCAGGCCTTTGCCAGGTAATGCTAATAGCTGTGGAATTTGTTTTGCCTTGTATATTTAATGGTTCAGTGGGTGCTGTAAAAAAAAATATATATATATAGGGTTTTGAACATCATTGCAACATAATAAATACTCAGTAAAATATGATTAATAAGAAAGCATTTATTAATAATTGATGCAGGTTATCAATTGATTGAATCCTAATGTGTTTAAAATATAAACTAATTAATAGATATGGCATGCATATTAAAACACAGTAAATAAGTTGTGGTTTAAATTCAATTCTCTATCACAAAATGGTTAAATTGTTTCTTTTTATGCACAAAGCTATACTATCTGTGCTCACGAGTATTAAAACCAAATTTTTAGCACTATAAGCCCTTAGACTTATTGCTGGGTCCTCAAAACAGAATGGTACTATAAAACAGACATGTGCTATTTAGTTATTCAACATACCTATACTACATTACATGCTATTTTGCTTGTTATACGAGTTATACAATGGTCCTTAGACTTATTGCTGGGTCCTCAAAACAGAATGGTACTATAAAACAGACATGTGCTATTTGGTTATTCAACAGACCTATACTACATTACATGCTATTTTGCTTGTTATACGAGTTATACAATGGTCCTGTGCTATCATACTGTTTAAAGAATATATCCTGCTATTTTGCTTGTTATACGAGTTATACAATGGTCCTGTGCTATCATACTGTTTAAAGAATATATCCTGTTATTTTACTGATTGTACAACAGATCTGTACTATATTATGTGCTAATAAAACTGACTAGTACTATATTATTGATTATACAACAGACTTGAAAAACATTGCAGATTATACAAAAAACCTGCACAATATTATTAGTTATACATTAATATTACTAGTTACACAAAACAACTAAATTAACAGAAAGTTCTACTATATTATGGTTATGCAACAAATTCATACTAATTTAGAGTTTATGCAACAGACTTGTAGTATATTGCATACTATACCATAGATTTGGTATATAATAGACTTGTGATAGTAGAAGTTATTAAACAAAATGGAAATATAGATCAAATACATGTTACATGATTATACAACACACTTGTACAACACTTCAGATTATAATACACACCTATACTACATTGCAGGTTATACAACACACACACAGTGTGTGTGTGTGTGTGTGTTGTATAACCTGCAATGTAGTATAGGTGTGTGTGTGTGTGTGTGTGTGTGTGTGTGTTGTATAACCTGCAATGTAGTATAGGTGTGTGTGTGTTGTATAACCTGCAATGTAGTACAAATGTGTGTGTTTGTATAACCAGCAATGTAGTATAGGTCTGTATAATTCACAATCTAGTAGAAGTGTGTGTTCACAATCTAGTAGAAGTGTGTGCTGTATAACCAGCAATGTAGTACAAGTGTGTGTTGTATAATTCACAATCTAGTAGAAGTGTGTGAAGTGTGTGCTGTATAACCTACTAGATTGTGAATTATACAGCACACACTTCTACTAGATTGTGATTATACGACACACACTTCTACTACATTGTGGATTACACAACACACACACTTCTACTACATTGTGGATTATACAACACACACTTCTACTACATTGTGGATTATACAACACACACTTCTACTACATTGTGGATTATACAACACACACTTGTACTAGATTGTGGGTTATGCAATGGACCCATACTATGTTGCTAATTACACAACAGACTTGTACTACATTGCAGGTTATACCATACACTTGTACTACATTACAACAGCATTTTCAATAAAGATACCTGGAGGTTAAAAGGTCAAATAATAAACACACATGAACACATAACAGGTACTTACTCCCTGCTTTTGTAGTGGCAAGTACTCCTTCACTAAATTCACTGACTAGTCCACTTAGTGTTTTTGTTTTAACACTGACAAGGTACTTTGTGAATGGCTGTAGCCCATCCCTCAAGATAACTTTTTCAGCATGTGGATCACTTATTACCATTTCTTTAAGAGATGTTGTAAGTTTTACATCAGAAGTCAATAAATCATACTCATGCTCAATTGATTTTACTATTACATCTTTAGAAGTAAATATATATTCAAATTATAAAGATATTCTACTAATTCAATGAAATAAACACAAATTATATTATTGTACAAATATATTTACTGTCCTTACAGTGTTCTTGACTTCTGGTTTAGCAGAATTGATTAATTAATTAATTTATTTATTGATTAACTCTGTTTAAAAAAAAGTCTGAATTAAAACAATGATATAAATTTCCACTTAATATTACTAGAAAACATCAAATAAAAAAAAGTGAAAACATTTGTAAATAATAATGTTCATACATAATAAAACAAATGGGAAAAGTATAAATATTTCCATAATTCAAGCGCTCTTCAGCTACCATTGTATCACACAAAGATAAGGAAAATGAAAAAACATGAGTTTTTCACTTGTGCCATTAAAACTTAAATTGCATCATACCCCTGTCTAAGTTTGAGTCAAAGCAAGTTCCTTTCTTAAATATTTAAAAATAGTTGTGTTGTGGGTTCTAATATTAGATCATATCAGGCCTAACTGCACAGAGGAGTTGTACTCTTTATCTATTCATACTGCTTTATCTATTCAAATAAAGTTTCCATTGATGTTCTTGCTTATTCTCACATGATCTTATTATCTTTAAAAATTTAATAACCACTGTATTAAATGAGTTATCATTCAACATTATTAAAACATTTGGTTTAATTTATTTTACTACATTGACTGTGTGCAGAAAACCCATCAATCTAAAGATTAGCAAAAAGCACATCTAATAGACGAGATTTACATTGACTTTTGGGAATAAAGTAAACTAAATATGTAATGAAAATAATGATATAAAAACATTATATTGATATTACATCTTTCACTAACAGACAAAGCTACTTTCAAGTTTATTTCTAGTTACTGGTAGTTAACTGCACATCCACATCAATAAACTACCCTACATAATGCTTTCAAAGTGATATGAAATGTTAAAAATGAATTGCATGCAGAGTGCAATTCTTTAACAAAATGTGAAAGTAATTATCAGCAGGGGTGCAAATGATATCCAAGTGTAACTACTAGGTAATGCACAGAATGAAGAAGACAGTTACAACCAGAATATTTGTAGAAATGCATGAAAGTGAAAAGTTAGAAACACTGAAGAAAATTACTTTCATGTAAAAACTAAACCTACACACACACAATCATTCTGTGACCCCGACAATAGAACACCAAAAAGGCCTACATTCAAAGCTTTTTGAGGCATATTTCTCGATTTTGATGATACACAGGTGCCAATAACAAATTGATCCAGCTTATTTTTGCCAATTTGACATTATTAGATTTAAAAAATGTGTGAATTTTGAATTGTTTAAGACACTTCATACACTGAGAAGTTTCACATGTGAGATGTAAATTTCAATGAAATATATGAAATTAAAAACAAATCACAATTTTAGACAATTATATTGCAAATAAGAAAATGTACAAAACAAGAAAATTCAAAGTCTTTACATTTTACCAGTGTTTCTGTTTTGTCTCTCATATATGGGGTTCATAATGCTTGTTGTATTGCATACATTGGCACATAAAGTACAAGACATTAAATTAAATAGTACTGAATAAATAGTGTAAATTATGTGAGAAAACATTCAGCCTACTTAAAAATATGTCCTTGGTAACTTTAACTAAATAAAGTCAATACTGAACAGTAAAAAAACTTACTGTAAAATAGTTTTAAATCATCATTTTATCTATTAATTCAAAATTGGTGACTTCTGATAATTACTAATAGAATAAATACAACTATTAAAGGGTAAAATATACACTAATAATGACGTGGATAATGTCCAGAAAATATATAAACAGTCTGTAGATCTTATACATGACAAACAAATATCTGTTTCAAGACTTGGAATTAAAAACCACTTACCAAGACAAGACTGATTCAAAGTAGATTGGCAATACTGTACGATGTATTCCTGAATTAATTTCTTCTGAGCTTTACATGCTAAAACCCACTTTACAATCAGACAGCTCTCATTACATGCATAGACATCAATAACCACTTTGTCCAATGCTAAATAAAAAGTAATTATTACCTTAAAACATTGTTTTTTGGTACAGTTCATTGATTTTAAAAAGTGAAAACTATTACTGTTCTTCAATTACCTTGCATTTACTAGTTTGTAATATTTGTGAAGTTTTACTCCATATATGACCAAATATGTCTTTTCAGAGATATTGATAAATTAATAAAACATACACACATCATCTACAATTCAGATGAAACATATGTGACAGGCAACCCTATGTTTCATACACAACATTTGCATAAGTTAGCCACAGGCAATAATTGGTATTTCACTTATTTACAAAACATCTCGTGAATAAACTTGAAATATTTTACTTGATTTGACTGACTGAAAGATAACATAGTGGCATGATGAATAATTCTATTAATATTACATAAGTCTTCCAAATGTTATGTGATATATATATATATAATATGGAGTAGCTATTAACCCTATGTGCACGGGGTCAGTCCATTTGACGGAGCCCACAATGGAGAATTAATATTTACTATAAATTATATATTTCTAAATTTACTTAATGTATCTTAATCAAATTTCAAAAACTTTTAGTGAACATTGAAAGTATGTTGTATATAAAAAATCAGAATTTTTAATAACATATTTCTAATAAAGATACATCTCTGAATTTACTTTAGTCAGTCTGACTCAGAGAAATTTCTTTATCTGATTTTTTTCTATTTTTAATCTATTATAATAAATTTCTGATTTTTACATTTTAATTTCTTTCATAATAATAAGCAAAAAAAATTAATACTTAAGTGTGGGTATGGTACTTTTATGCACTCGAAGTCTCAATAAAAGTTAACCCTAATTTTTGGTATGGTGGTTGTTACAATGTCCTATAATTATTATAATCTAACTGGCTTTCTAACTAAATTGTATGTGTGTTAAAATAATCATTATTTTATAAATGAACTCAGCAGAAAAATTCAAGATTTTTGTCAGAATGAGCTAGCATTACATGCAATTCAGTAAATACATGTATTACTTTTAAATATGTGTTGATCAAAGGCCTGGAGTAACCATAGCAAGGTAAAAGACTGAAATTGTAGGAATACCAAATAACGAGGAATTCACCATTTTTATTCTTCCTATAAGCACTTCTTCATTAAATTAATACTATCTTGTAATGTGTATAACAATACAATTATTTGTGACTATATCAGTCATTACAGCAATACAATATCTGAAGTCACTTAAGCATAAGCAGTAAAATATGCAAATTTGTTTCCTTCTCAAATGCAAGTACCAACACTGAAATGGTTTCCATTGTTGGGTAGGTTCTTTAGGACTTATCAATAAACAATAGTTTAAAGGTTAACATTTTCTGACACTGAAAATGTATTTCCAATAAATACTTACCCCCAATCACCTAAAGCTATCTCTAAGCATTACTAAAATTTTTCAACAGTGCACCAGTCTTTTATACTCCTTCATTTTTGCACCATTGCAGCAACATATCCTGATCATGTGACTACCCTCCACCAATCATACTGCACGACCTATACTAACGCAGGTACCGCCCTCTACCATCACAGCACAATCTTCACTTTTGAGAATTGGTAGATACAAACCAGAAACACCAGCAAATCAGTGGGGAGGAAGGGCGGGAAGGGGTTGAGAGGAAGTAAATACCTTCTGGAAATAGATTTTCAGTGTTTGAAAACATTAACTTCTGAAACAATGGAGGGGCCAGTGGAGGTACAAAAGTAACAATAAAAGTGAAGAACAACCACCTTGAAATAACAGGTGTGCAACAATTATAAAAGGAGGGACACCTGTGGGGTATAGCAATACTTCTGGAACAAGTATACTCTTTGCCCAGTAATGAACAAAGTAAGACACATAGGGCAGAACTGAATAGGCAGGCACCATGTCATGTAATACAGATTCCACTCATGACAACAGATAGTACGCAAGATGTCCACATATGTGACAATTGTGAGCAGATGGGACAATCATAGTCACATTGGAAGAAGGTGTCTGGAATCAAATATAAGAATACATGGCTAGGGATAAAGGACAGTAAATGTATATGAATAGGTCAATGCAGTCTGCTCGAGCAAAAAGTGCAGTCCATCAAGTCTAAAACAACAGTGGAAGCACCTTGCATAAGATTGTAAGATCAACAAGTGTGGTCAGCCTGGGCAAAAAACATCCAGGGGATGTGCCTTGGATTTATATTAAGATAGCCAAGTGTGGTCAGCCCGGGGAAAAACAACTGAGGGAAGCACCTTGGTATATGTCAGATTATGTCAAGTGTGGTCCATCTGGTCAGAAAACTTCCACTGGAAACATCTTGCATAAAAAAAGTTATTTTGTGAACAACAAGTGAGGTCAGCCAGGGCAAAAACATCTGGGAGAAGCACCTTGTATTTTATTAGTATAGCAAGTGTGGTCCATCTGAGCAGAAAACATCCAGTGAAAGCACCTTGCATAAAATGTGTATTTCGTGATCAACAAGTGCAGTCTACCCGGACAAAAAACATCCAGGAGAAGCACCTTGGATTGAACATATTATGATATTCCATAATATGAAATATAAAGACCATAGCCCTCTTTTCATAGAAAAGGTACATATTACTATGAAGTTTGTTTTATCGTACCAATCCCACTCCAGAGAAAACCGCCACAGTCCACCACATCAGCGATGGGAACCAGAAGTGGCAAGGACTCCTGTACTCCATTAGAAGAAGAGGGGGGATACACATTGGGGAGTCCACAGAAACAACACACTGGAGACAGTGCAATGGGTGATTTTGGAAAGTAGAAAAACCCAATTATAAGAATCACAGGTCAGTAGAAATGGACAAAAATCTCCATCTGCTTTATTCATGAAGTCCATAAGTGACAGTCCTTTATATATGATATAGTGATAAGAAAAATACATATATAGATATATACACACCACTGGATAAGCAGCCTGTGGTCTTGCAGAAACACTCCATCTCCACAGTGAGCATTATGGAAGTATACAGATTTAGTGCCATGATATAATATTCAGCACACCTGACCACAGGGGAAAGACGATAGCCGCTCGAAGAAGACACAGCTATGTTGTGCAGATAGAGAGTGACAAATGTATTGTGACTTGGCTACATACCAGTCTGAATGATATCCTCCAAAAGATGGAGGGTGCAAGCAGCTAAAGACATAGTTAGATGACAAATTTGGTGTGAAGAAACATAATGTAGATGGCGATTGTCCATAGACACACCATGGTCAGAATACACCAGTCGTATGAGTTGATGAACCTAACCAGTGAGCATAATATGTGAAAAGATCATGGGACAAGGAGGAATTCCATGGTACAATGAGACAAGAACAAGAACCATGTTAGGAGGCAGTACGAGCCATATAACATTGCAGGTAATGAACTGGACAAAGTAGCTGATCCGGATCTGAAGGAGAGAATAGGGGAGAAAAGGAAGGTAAGGAAATAGGAGAATAGGCCCAACAACTTTCCTGGGTAGTCAATGTCCTGGGAAGGAAGGTCCGATCCAAATAGCAGATAACGTATGAAGAATAGTGAAGGATGTGGGAAACATTAATGGCAAAACATCAGAATGACAATGACTGCATGCTAGGAGAGGGAGGAAATAGGTCTTAAGGGAAATGATACATTGCAAAGGATTCAAATGGAGAACTGGTCAGGGTATGAAGGACAACACTGAGATCCTAAACTGACAGAACATAGGAACATGGAGGATGGACCATACAAAAGATTCAGAAAAGAAGGGAAGTAACCTGGAAAGGGAAGGCATTATGGAAGTGGGAGAAAGAAAAGTGTTTGACAGAGCAGCCCTAAAAAGAGCAACAGTTGAAATAAACAAACCCTGGACAAACAACCTAATGAACGATTGGGACAGGTGAGGGACAGAAGAATGGAATGGTTGTAAGCCATGGTCAATAGACCAAAGCCTTTGGTATATAGATAAGGAGGAAAAACGACTGATGTAGGTAAGGAAAGACACTACACAAAAAGTGACTCCTAGAGTTGAGGCACAGGGCCAGACAGAAGTCACACGAGAAGCAGGAGTGTGGTGACAGGGGGGTGAGAACCGTCCGATCCCAGTTGTTGGAGGTGCAATCAGGACAAAGATAAGGGCAGAGGCCATAGCTTCAGTAAGGGCCAAAGCACAGGGAACCATGTCTGAGCCGGCCTATTGGCAGACAACAACAAGGAGTGAACTGGATAAGGGAAAAGACCCAGGCAAAGAGTCTGATCAGAGGGTAGGCGTGAACGAACAGAAAAAAAATTACATGACACTGAAGAAAAAACTCACCAAAGTGAGAGGTAGGATTCTACAGTGAAGTGAGGTGTCTCCAGATATGAAAACAGTCAGGAAATAGCTATGATAGGACTCCAATCCCTTATGTATTTTGAAGACAACAAACAGATGAAATTAAAATCCTGGTTAAGTGGACACTTCCTGTTCAATAACTCCTTTATGTAGTAGATCTCAAACATACTTGGTAAGATAACTTGATGAGGTGCAATCCTGAGGAGGAGGAGGGTCAGAGATCTGGGAAGTGGACAGAAAGGGAGCAACACAGAAGGCAGAAACCCACAGACAGAACAAGTAAAACCCATGGAACTGTACTGAAGTGCAGCCAAATACACATAAACTAAACTAAACATGCTTGGAGAAAATACTTATTACTAACAAAACGTAGACACCTGTAAAGTCTACAAAGTACATAAAAATAACAAACTTGCAAAACAATAAAATCTGACCTAAAACAAAAAGCAATAAGTAATGCCCAAAGTACAAAACCACTAAAGGAACTTAGAAGATAAACAACCCTTAAATATCAAATATACAAGTCAATCCAAAGAATCTATAAGACAAAAGACACAAAAACAAAACTGACCCTAAAGAACATAAGAATAAAAAGGTACCCAGTTAATAATAACAAAGTTTGATGCTAATCTAATCTCAAATTAGACGCAACTAGTAGTAATGAAAAAAGGACTTACAAATAAATTAACGTGAATAGTGAAAAGAAGTAAAATAGAAACAAAAAACAAAGGAATAATCAAACTCCAAATGCAAGTTTAAACTAAATCAACCAAGATGGTAAAAGAAGTATAAAAATTTAACTTATCCAACACTGAGCAGAGAAGAAATGAATGACCTAAATTATTGAATTCGGAAACTAGGTCCATCCACACAAGCTCATATAAAATCACTGAACATGGGTATCCCTATGGGGAGTGAGAAATACACACTGAAAAACTTCCCACAGACCTCCTGGGAAAAGAACAATACCTAACCCAGCAGATAATGTGGTGGTGCAGTAACAAGTGGAAAGCACCATAGAAAGGCAATTTTCACACAGTAGTTATATCCCTCTTCACAAAAATTGTAACGTGAAAGGAAAATCATTAGCGAAACATAAGATATGAAAACCCTGAGAACTAAAGCCCCTGCTTCCCCAGCAGACATTGTTGACCCTGAGACCAGGGGACTAGTATTCTACTTATGGCAGGAATTTCAACATGTACTATATTAAATCTGAAATTCATGTGAACAAAGTAGAATTCAGAAACAGAAACATTTCTAAAACAAACAAGTAGAAACAATGGAAATCTAACACAGGAAGTCAAAACTTAAAGTTCAAACTGATATAAAGTTGTGATCAAGCACAATCAAAATCTTGTAGTCATATGAGGAACGAGTTAAAACACATGTCTATACACTAGAATGCCAATTGATAAAGTGAGGATTGTGCTGCAATGGTAGAGGGAGATAGTTGCACTAGTATAGGTGGCACAACATGATTGGTGGAAAGTAGTCACATGATCAGCACATGTTGCTGCAATGGTGCAAAAATGAAGGGGGTATATGAGATAGCTTTGGGTGAGATTTCGTCTTATTTTTTTGACAAGTTCTACACTTGTACAGTTTTACAAAAAAACAATATGCCTAACTTCAGCTATAATACTAAACTGTCATGTTCTTGATGATTTCTCTTGTACATATAGAACTTCTCATGCGATACCTCTAAACACAAACTCAATATTCACAAAATTGAAGTAACCAACAAACAAACCCACTAACACAACAGTAAATGTAAGTATTGTAACACTCACTAACAAATCAACAATCTACTGCTTACTTTAGCATAACTTTATACAAACATTTATGTCAATAACCTACTGTAGTAAGTTCTGCATTATATACCTTAGACTTGGAAATGTTTAGGACTTAAATACTTATCATGGCTTTTTATGGTATATTATATAGTTAAAAGATGTGTATGTAAATATTTTAGTTTTACAAAATAATTATTGTAAACATTCTTGTAAAAAATAATTTTTGATAATGCTTTTTACCAATACTTTTTCTGTTTGATCAGTATGAGCTTCACTACCAAATTATGTTTTCAAATGCAAAAATTAAGTGACACTTTACTATAGTTTTTTGGGTTGCTTGATTATCCTTGTGTGATTAAGCAAAAAATTACAATCAGTTCATTGTTGATGTCCCAAGATTGCCACCTTGCCTGTTATACTGACGAATTTGTTTCCTATTTCACTTCAACAAGATGACAAAAACTCACAAATGTTGACACAAGTATACTCCTAAGTTATTAAATTGAATAAAAAAACGACATTTTTGCTTTTCATATTATTTCCACTTCTTAAACCAGAATACACAAATTAATACCTCTCTCTTTTGAAAGCATACCTTTTTCAGCAGGAACAATACATACTGCCCACTCCATCCCCGATGTTGATCTTTCAGAATTAGCTGCAACAGCAAACTGGTAGTTTAAATCCTTCTGAAAATCAAATTTTGCTGAATTGATTTCAGCGGAAAAGGTTTTCCAGCTGACAGGATGGTTACAGGTAAAAGGACGAGGTTTGGGATTGTTACACCAGAAGACAGTAAAACTGGTAATTGGTAATTTTTCTGTAGGATAATCCCAATCTAACTTATAAGTACCATTGGCAAAAGAAACAGCTGTGATGTTGGCTGGTCTTGGAATGACTGAAAAAAAGATTGATATATAAATATCATACACAATTGGAACTAACTAAATAACTTCTGGCATTTTGATTATAATATTACATTTTCCAAAAATATTCTCATTAAAAAAATATAGCTTAATTTAAGGTTATCTAATTTGGAATGTTTATAAAACAGTTGGAATTAATAGAAACACATGGATTTTTTTGAAGAAATGAAGGAAATCAAACTTCATATGATCAACATTTTGCTTTATTCTTTGTCATTATACTAATTATATTATAAAAAAACTGGTTCTAAATTAAAATTAACAAATCACAAAAAATAATTACTACAGTGAAATGTTCTGAAATTACTTAACATTAAAATTAAAAGTTTATTAGGTTACCTTCGGTCTTATCAGTTCAATGCCAACTCTCTGTCATTGCAAATTTTGTGTTTTTTTTTGTTTTTTTTATAAGTCTACTCCTAAAGTACACAAAATTACATAAAGTTCATTTTAAGTATATTTATTTAATTGTATATCATTGTATTTATTATATTTTTTAAACCAATAATTTTTAGTTTGTCACTAATTAATACAAATAAATAACTCAAAGATATGCTATGAATGAAAAGATATTATTTAATTACTTACTTCTTTCCACACTATCTACGAAAATTTCTGATGACCTGTCTGATTGACCCTCTTTGTTTACCGAGTATAAAATAAACTTATATGGTATTTTAAGTTCCAAATGGTCAAATGTATATTTAGTTAGTGAACCCTCCACTTTTTGAACTCTAATACTTTGTTTGGGATGTGAAGTATGATCAATCAGACACTCAATCACGTAATAAAAATCTTCTCCATTATAACTTTCTTTAGGGACAGGCTACAAAATAAAGAGAATAAGAGAAACCATATAGAAATAACTATTGTGTATTAGCATAAATTTATAAACATTTTAAAGAATAAGAGAAACCATATAGAAATAACTATTGTGTATTAACATAAATTTATAAACATTTTTATACATATAACACAACATTTATGTTAATTCTAACATGTAAAGGAAAAGGCCTGCAATAAAAAAAAAACTGTCATACATAGGAATTTAGGAATTGTAAAATGTATCCTACTAAGAAAGATATTCACAAAACAGAATCTGCAAGGAAGTTACTATGATAGGGACTGGAATGTCAACCTCAGAGATCAGTAACTTTACTTACTACCCCCAGTGGCCTGTTTACATAAACCTGCTATATCAACAGTTTAAAATCTGAAATCTTCTAAATTGTTTGTCTGAATTTCTATCAACTATAAAAATTAATTTTCAATAAAAAACATCTAAACACTATGAAACAGCTATCATAAAACTTCCACAACAACATCACATAATACAATGAAGTATTTATTTCAATCAATACAGTTACATTTTCAAATTCAATATTACAAAGTACAAAATAAAATAATTTATAAATAGTTAATGTAATGATAATTTATACTTGAAATATAATTATTAATTGTGAACAACAATTGACAGTGCAAAATCAGATATACAAATTACTCTTATTATTTTTATTTTACTTTTGTTTTATTCATTATTGCCAAAATACAAAGAAACAAAAACTTAATGAATATTTTCTACAAAAGATTCTATATCACTTCCACTTTTAAAAACTGTATTTAAAAAAACTTGAAAGGTTTAACATTCAAATATTTATACTACATAACAGTTAAAACAATAAATAGGTATCATCACAAAATAAAATTCAATAATCTTATATAAATATAGATAACCGTGGTGTCTGTCTGAACATTCGAAAAGCTACGCATGCAGGAAAAGCTCGACATTCATTTTTTAAATGACAGGAGAACAAGCATGAATAATATTGATGCCAAATCATATTCAGTAAGCAGGATATTCTCCACTAAATTGTTAGGAATTAATCAAACAATCATTCATATTTCAAAAGGTGACGTAACTTAAAGAATAAAAATGTAGATTTACCGTCCGTTATTGTTGAGTGGCTCTTAGCATGACTGAATTGCTAAACAATTACTTTTTGAGGTGGATGGTATAAGTAGCTCAGAACTTTGTTTCTGAGTGAAACCAAGAATGCAACAAAATTGACCTTTTTTAAAGTCCATGAAATAATTTAAATTGATTGATTAACTTAAAACTTTTCCTGTCACTAGGGACAGGTACTTTGAATTTTTTTTAATAAAACAAGATGTTTCCCTGTAACTTTCACAAATTACATTTTATGTAGATTTCCACTTAAGAGTAATCCATAAGACTGTCATTCGGTTAAAAATATAATCCATGAAAGTATTAAACCTTTTTATTAGGTCCATCCGATATTAATAATGATATCATAATTAAATCAAAATATATCTTACCTGTCAAAACTATTATATTTAGTGAAAGGAAAAGATCTGTAGTCATATTTTTTAGTGTATCATTCTAGTCTTACAGCTATCAGCTCTTTTTAAAACAAAAATTTGCCTTTGCTATTAAATAAATATCTTTGTAGTTGATAAAGCCAACATTCTTCAACAAGTCCAGTAATCCTAAACCGGACTGGCTACTCTCTGTTTGATAACTTCACACTTCTTTGAAAACTTTGTCATAAATTCTAACTCCATCATTTTAAAGCTGTTTACTGGCTTTTCTTAGTGGTTATCATAAATTATAAACTGTAATTTTTATTTCATTTACTGATTTCAAAAAAAAAATTGTATATAGAAACTTTACCTCATAATTTAATTGGATTTCATCTGGAGTTAGATGGAATTCATAATAAAGATACTGTATGTTCCTATTAGTCACTGTTAGGCTAAGCTAACTGTTTAAGTACTTTAAGTTTCTTGGATGCTTATTTCACTATGTTGCCATAATTGAACTGTGTTCCTAAGCTTGTTACACTCTTTATATTTTTCTTCCCCATCAAAATTAAGGTCATTCATTTATTTATCAATGTTTAATATGCATGCACAGTTAGAATACAATTAAAACTATATCAGAAAAAGAACAGAAATGGAAAAAAATCTTACTTTCCAATATAAAGTTATTCGTCTTTCAAAGTGCAGTATGGTTTGTTCAAAAGCATCCTTTCTGGTATCAGGAATCAAATATGGCACTGTAAAAAGAAAGATGGCAACACTAATGTTTTACATTACATCTTTTAAGTATATTTCTTATTTTGAACAAAAAATAAAATACCAAGAATAACATTTCCTCTGAATAAATATCTGAATATGCACAATAGACAAACCAGAATTATAATACAATAATATCAGCCTGGCATTCTTTAAACATCCTTCAAGGAAGAATTGCTCTCAATATTTTGAGTAAAAAAAATGTTTCTTTTAGCTCATGTTATTTGTTTGTTTTTTTTATTCAGGGTGATGCACAATAAAATGTCAAACTAGAAAAATCAAAGTGTAGAAACTACTACTTGAAGTTTTTGCTAAATAATATCAAAACTTATAACTTTTAAGATATATAAAGTCAATTTTGTCATAAATATAAAAAATTAAAAGTAGATAGTAGATAGCAAATTATAAAATTCACCCAGATGATTATACCAAAGTATATGTTTTATGTTTTCAAAGTATTATTTCAAGATATACATACAGGTTCTTAAGAGTATGGTTTGTTTTATTGTATTGCAATTAAAAGCTTTTACATAAAACTGCTTGAAACTTGAAATTAATTTTCTACATATCATGTTATTTTTATATGTGACACTTGTATGAACTGTCAGTTGTTGAAATTCGAAAATCTTTCTTTGTGAAATGTTTTTAAAACTTACCTTTGTTGTAGATTTCAATTATTGTTTTGTAGTCCTACATTCTCATAAAGCTTGTATTTTATAAAAAACTGTTCATTTTGTTTTTGTTTTGAATCAAAAAACACAACACTATGTTTATGATCACTGACATACAATAAAATGTATCTTTTTCCCATTCAAAACTTTTAACAGACTTTCTAATACTTTTCCCACAACTGATGTAAGACTAATGGGTCTATAATTACTGGGACAATATCTCTTCCTTTGAAAAGAGGAGATACATTAGCTAACTTCCAATCCTCTGGTACCTGTCCACTATTCAAGGACTGACAAAAAATAGTAGCAAATGGCTCACATAAGCAATCTAATTTTTTTTATTGTTCATGACAAGGTTTCATTCAATATAGTTTAAACCTGTATTAAAGCCACATTGATTTATACATTTGAAAAGAATAGAAAAAGAACTTTCATTCATTGTTTAGATCACTTGTCTACGATTTCATAAAGCTTAAAAATATGCAACTGACATAACATTATGATAATCAAAGTTAAAAAATGATGACTGGTTAAAACCAATTACACTACACCTATACTGAAGATACAAGGTTCATATTGCTGCCATTTTATTAAAACTATTTTGACTTTCCATCCTGTGAGAAGTAAGGAGTACCATATTATGCTCAGGAAAAATTCAGGAAATTCATAAATGCTAATGTTTTCATTTAGAGCATGTTATAATCAACCTGAAACTCAATCTTTTAATTTTTAAAAACTTTTTATTGGACTAATTTCAATCCAAGTACTTTTTAATGTACGAAAGAATGACTACAAGTTTATTTTCAACAAATGTTTTAATTCAATGGTGCAATTTTCCCTCAAGCAACAGGTGCACCTTTCCTAGTGACAGAGGGTTAATTATGTTTTATTGATTATGCACCTATATTTTTGAATCAGGAATTTGAGTCAAAACACACTTTAACCAAAAGTCAATTTAGAGCTTAGAGACAGCTTCTTTAATGGCATTAAGCTAACCACAAAATATTTACTCATCAATAAAATTATTCAGAAAAGTAAACTCCTTTTTGGTTTTTACAATAATTTTTTATTAAATCACACACGTGCATGCATTGTGTCACAATTACCAAAAACTTTATAAATTACTTTTAATTTTAAATAAATACTTTGTTTCCTTATATTTTCTTAGTTCTCTGTTTGAATTTTGTTTTTAATTGGTCTATGAGCTTAACATTACAAAATTGATAACATTAAATGTTTTATTTCAACAACACCAACAAAATCACCTACCATCAGGATCAGTGCGACATAAAATGATAGTAAACTCACTCCACATTTTTTCTAAATTTGGATCTGCTTTACTAGATCGACATCGAAGTTGAATGTCATAACGGGTATAAGGTATCAAATCGATTAGAGTGTATTCAGTTTTATCTCTTCCAACTTCGTGCACCTGCGAAAAATAAACAATGTAGCTGAGAGACATTGAGAACACTAAAATTTAACAATCTGAGCCCCAATCTAATTAATATATCTTGAAAAATTTTTAATAAACTTTTCATATTTTCTTTCAACATTCTTCATTGGAAGAACTGACCAACCAATTTTATTTACAATCTTGCTACTTTTCTGATTTTAAACTTTTCGTTTTTTTTAGTACTTACAACTTTTATCACAAGTCCTACTCACTTTCCATTCATCTTGGGTGTTTGCATTTCTGTATCTCAGTTGATAATGAAGTCCTTCTTTAAATTCTCCAAACTGGAAACCTTTTGGATGATTCCAGGTGATAGTTATCTCATTCTGAGTTTTATTGGTAACTTCCAAATGGAGTGGAGCATCAGAAATTACTGTTGAACAATATTCCAATTTAAACTGTTCACACAAACATTAGAAGGTAATGGTGAATGGTATATGCACAATACCATTGTACATTAATATAAGAAAATAAATTGTGGTTATAAGCATCTTTAACAACAGGTTAATATACAATTATTCCAAATATTTCATTTAAGAAACCAATTTAAAAGTTAATGTCATGAAAGCAACTGCAAACTTATATATACACAGCAATACACCGTGAGATAAACATTTTCAACTGTTTTAAAAGGTCTCCTGCTTAGTAAGGAATATAATTTGTCCTTAAAAAAGTTATTGGAAAATAGCATAGTGGAGTCAATATTTTCATTTTGCACAGCTTTAATACTCAGTTCACAGTCTCAAACAAACATGTGAGATATCATGATGGTTTAGTATCATATTTACTACAAAGTTATAGCTTCTTTAAGTTGGAGAAACTAATAACTTGCAAAATCAAATCACTTGCTTCAATATCTTCTAATACAAACCTCAAATACAAAAGCTAAAATTTTTCATACAGAATAAATGAAATGTAGTATTGATTAAAAAGAGACTATGTGAGATTTTGACTGATAGCCAAAGGAAAGAAAATATATTAGTTACATATACCACAGGAGAACACTGCACAAGGCTGAAAAGTACTTGAATTGTACTTACAGAAAATAAAAGAACTTTCAGTCCAATAGTCTACCTAGATACAGGCCAGAGTTTCTACATCTTTAATAAGCCTTAGTCATGTTTGAAACCACTTTAACAGCTATATAAAATTTTCTGTGCAAATCTGAGTTTCAGTTTCCAAAAGTTATGTACAGGTTTATTATAGGTTGTCTGCCATATATATAAGATTTCCTGTGCTGATTTGAATTTCAAATTTTCATTACCTAATTTTTCATATCTAATTCTGAGATTGTCGTTGAAATATCATGTAAGATTTCCTGTCCAAATCTAAGTTTCAGATTTCAAAAGCTATGTCTAATTTTTATATGGTCTGTCATTAAGAAAAAGGTGTTATAATATTCAGGATTAATCTAATTTTCTTTATTGATGTATTCAAAATTTTTGTCATCATTTAAGTATAATTTAATCAATTTTTAACAATCTATTCAAACATTTAATTCAAAAAGAAACTACAATTTTCTGATTTCAATCATATTGTTAAATGTTCCAAGTGCTGCAATGGCCATATGTTCCATCTTCTCAAACTTGTTTTTTAATGAAACATCAGTCTACAATTAAATATAATTGTTCAGAAGTCTACCATGTAATGATTTATAAACTAGTAAATCCATTCTTCAAATTAATATCTTAAACATCAGAAATTTTAATAAAAGTTATGAAGCTGCAAATTTATCATTAAGGTTGGTCACCTTTCCAGCTCTCTTTGCTACACTTAGGTACAGTTTGAGAATTTTTATCTTTTATAAATTCATATTTTAATATCTAGAAAAAAAAACCTTTAGAAAACTAATGTATCAACAAATGTTAATTTGTAGATAGTAAAGGCTTCCAAACTAGTTAAGCAGTAAATTATCATACAAATTAAGCTGCTATACTGTGTTATAGAGAATTAGATAGTAAAGGCTTCCAAACTAGTTAAGCAGTAAATTATCATAATTCTCTATAACACAGTATAGCAGCTTTTGACCGATGTATCACCATAGAGGGAATTAAGCATTACCCTTGTTGTTTGTTTTCTTTTTAATATAACAATTATAACCAAAGGTTGTATCAAAAATACTGACTAAATTATCTTGTATTATCTTAGGATATCTGAACCAAATTTTTGTTTCTCTAACTGAAAGGAGATGCATCTTTGCAGCACAAAGATTACTCACCATTTTCAAAATGGTTCAAGTCAAATTTTTCCACCAGATTGCCAAATTTATTTGTAGAATGTAACTGGAAGTACAAGTGTTTGTCATATCTTCTGTATGATGGCCTGGTATCTAACCTCCACTGACAGCAAGTTCTGTTCAGCGATACAGGACATACTATCGAAATTCCATCATATATTTGTCTATAACATACATGATGACTTGTGTTAATCAAATTAAACACATGCTAGAATGTTATATTTTATTCTTCCTTATCCTAATATTAAAGCCAATAGAATAAGCTTTTCCAATTTTTCATGTTATTAACAATTTACATAAAGTATAATATTGTAACTTTATACATACATGCTATATCATTCTCTTCTTACTCCTTCTTCTTAATATAAAACACACACTCAAAAAGAGCTCTTTACTTCTTTTTTTGTTGATAATATAGTATACTTACTCAATGGAATGTCCTTGTTTTAGTCTTTCATGATCATATCAAAACATTTGATGGGTAAATTATACCATTAATACTTTTATGTTTCTTAAATTACATAATACTAAGATAAAGAGTTCACTATAGAAAGTTAATCTACTGATAAAGGCGTAGAGCCAAAATGTTCATTACATAAAAACTAGCTAGATCTCCTACAGTTCAGGGTTGTGTCATTTATTCGTAATCAATACTCTTAACCACTACCAATAAGAACCTTCAGATGTGTATAGCTGAAGTGAAGTTAACTAGGTTTAAAAAAATTGTGGCTTCTCCATCATATTACTGTACTTTTGTTCTTTCTTCAGAAGTAGCAAATATATTTACAACTTGATGAATGTCTACAACATATACACTTGCTCAGCTTTACCTTCCAAATAACTTACTATGAAATCCACTTCTATGGATTACTTTCACATTACAGTGATTGGGTTTCAAAGTTAATCTGGTAAGTCTAAGACTTGTCACTTATCTCTCTGCTATTACAAGTTCTGTCTCATGAGAGTAATGATCATCTTTTTCTTGGGTAATAATTCTTTACTTTCATATTAACATCTTCTAGCATGTTACTGTAAATTAAAAACTACATTGAACAGAAATGCGGCTTACGGTATTGCATGCCACATGTGAAACAGTTTGTATGTGGTAATCGAAGAGTTGTATTGTGGTTTCCAGCAACATGTAAGGTTCAAAAAACTTTCACTCACACACCAGAATTTCTCCACAGGTTGTGGCTTACCTGAAAAATAAGAATACATTCAACTTTAGTTTATTCTAGACATATGGTTTACAGCAGTATTTATAATTTTTCAATCAATCATTTATCCACACTATGTTCATCTGTACTTATCTGCCTAACTGCTCCATGTTGACTTTTCATCACTGTTGTATTGCCAATGTACACATAATGGGCATATTCACATCATTCAAACATGTACACACTATTAAAGACACATGCTTCATTCTAGAGTGTACTGAATTTACTACCTTGTCTACCAGCACCAATTTTGACTATATATTCATAGATATGGTACGCCTAAAAGGAAACCAGAAAAAGAATGGCTTGCAACAGTGAACTAGTTCAAAAAGATGTTTCAAAAAACACTTAAAAATGCTTTTTGTAGTTAAGTATTTTGTAAAATGTAAGAAAAGTGAGAAATGCGAACGTAAATTTATTTTAAAGCATTCTTCTCTCTTTACAAATATTGTAGACATCTTCTATAAATATTGTTTGAAGTTATTTTACTGATGCATTCTAATCACATACAATGACATCTAATTTACTCAAGGATTTCATGTCTCGTGGGTCCTTATCCCCTGAAGCATTTAGATAGACAGAGTTCCAGTGTATTATGACAAATCTGTAATATATCTGAAAAATATTACACATCAATTTGATGTGCAATCTCTAATATTAAGTTTTAAATTAATATTGCCATCACAAAAAGTATTAACTACATATATTTAGGTTTTTCAAATGATATCAATAGATCCAAAATGAAGATACCTATAATTTCTTAGAACAAAATATTCTTTTTTCCTGAGCAAATACACACATATATATATATATATACACATTGTAAAAATTTCTCAGTCAGTAGTTTCCAACAAATTATCCTTGTTTTATTGCAATTTCTTCTCTTCTAAAAGTACAAAAGAAATAAAAATAAATGTTCAGTCCATCCATACAAAAACTTCTGTCTCATGAGAGTAATGATCATGTTTTTCTTGGGTGATAATTCTTTACGTCCATATTAATATCTTAGCATGTTACTGTAAATTAAAAACTACATTGAACAGAAATGCAGCTTACATATACAAAAACTTCAATCCTTTAAAAAAATAAATATAGGAGTACGTACTTTTTTAAATGACCGAAAACATAGACTTGTTAACAAAAGTTACTACATCCAGAATTAACCCTGTAGTTTACAGTAGAATTTTAAGGTGTTTGTGCTCAACTTATATGAATACTATGCAAAACTGATATCTTAGTTGTTTTTTTACACAAGATTTCTAGAATTATTAGTCTGAAGATATTAAATTACTGTACATATAGGCTGATTATGTCAGTTCCCTGTATAGATTATTTCCAAATAAAATAACTAGAAATCAGTTAAATATACATCTTCTTAATTTAGTTTTATATCAAGGAAGCATCTTTCTTTGTTAACTCTCTTTTTAACTCAGTTTTAATATCAATAAAGCATTTTCTTGAAAAAATAAAGCATATACTTATTATTTTTATAATAGAATTCCATCTGCTTTGTTCACACCCTTAGTGTTATTCTAGAAAACACCATTTTAAAATAACCTTTCAACCAACTACATGGCTACTTTGTAATAATGATTAGTAATTAGTAACTTTCAGAATATGAGTCATCATGTAGGAGAGAAAAGTTGCATCAGTTCAAGCTGTACTTACTTTCAACAAGAACTTGGCTCAAACAAATAAAAGTGGGGTCTCCATCAGTTGGCTTTATATAACAGGAGTACTTCCCTGAATGCTGAATTTGTACATTTGGGATTCTCAACTGAGCAGTCTGTGAGTCAAGCAAGAACACAAGCTTCTGTGAAAGTGTACTGTTATTGAATTGGAAAAATATATTGGAAGAGTTCAAACCCTGCACACTGACGACTGTACAATTCAGAAAAAGAGTGGAACCTGCTTCAAGTTCCTCATCTTGTGAAATTCCTGCAAAATGACCAATTGGCATGCTTAATATATTTTTTATACATGGTGGGCCATACTGGAATCCAAATAAATGATAAAAAACAAACTACAAGCAACACAATAAACGTTTCTTTATAATTAAACTATATTAGAATGATTACTGAATCAGTATGACATAAATGTTCAGTGTCCAACACTGTGATCAATGCATGTACAACAGAATCAGTATCATCAGTATTTTTAAAACATACATGGGAATAAATAATGAGCAAGAGTATCCACATAGCAACAAATGTCTATCACAAAAAAATCTCGCATTCTGTCATCTATCAAAATAAATATGATCACAAAATTTTTTAATCATAAGTTCAATTAGTTATGTTCAAAACATTTCAACATTTACTTTGCAAAAGGCATATTTTTTGCAAGTTAATGAACACAATAATCAGTGAGGATTATTCACTTGTAGTGCATTTCCAGAAATATTTTATCCAACACTATTTTCCTAACTGTTTTCAAAATTTGTTTAGCCTGAACACCAGGCCTACTTTCCTATTCAAATTAATATCTTCTTAACTTAACATTCTAAATACTAAGACTAGCTACTTACTACCTATACTTGGTCCATTTCCCTGTCCACATCCTTCTAGGTAGAGGAAAATATTGCACAAAATAAATATTCCCAACCATGCCCTGATACTCGTAATAATGAAGGCCATAGTAATATCTTTAAGTCATCGAAGAACATTTACTTCCCAAGAACTAACTGATTCCCTCCAAAGACAAAAGTATCAGAACTTCAGAATCTATACAATTGAATGTCCAAACTTATGTTGCCAGAAATCCACCACTATACAATGTCCTACACGCTGGTAACCAGGAAGATTCCGTAAGCTGTCAAAACTACAGTTTCCAACTCCTCTCCTAAAATAAAGTAGTGAGTGTTTAATATCAGATTAATAATAAATTAGAACATTAAAACAACTAAAATAATCAGTATGGTGTTAAACTATGTACCATATTTAATATCAAATTAATAATAAATTAGAACATTAAAACAACTAAAATAATCAGTATCGTGTTAAACTGTGTACCACATGAAGATTGAAATTACTAAAAGTATACATATGAGTGCCACAAAATAATTTAGGTCTAATATGAGAAGACAAGAATATTAATGGAAGTACTTTTAAAATACATAACTGAAAATAACTTATCTATTCAATACTTTGGTAGATTAGACTATCAATTTATATACATATACATAATATATATAGTTTAGATTCTTTATAACTTCTAAAATTCATTACAAACTCTCAGCTCTTTTACAAAATTTACTGGAGGTACAGCCTTAATAAGACACTTTATTTTAACTCTTAGTTATGTCTAAGATAAGCAAGCAGTGTATTAAAAAAAGTATTTTAATTTAAACCTCTGTTCTGCCATAGAAATTTAATGTGAGCACAACCTGTATAACAATTTTAATAAAGATTTTTGTTCTATGATATTTCCTGTAAGCACATCCTTAATAAGACATTATAATTAAAACTTCAAGTCTGTCATAAAAATGTACTGTAAAAATAATATCAATAAATCTTGTCACCACATAATCCTCAGTTCCATCAAAGCCTGTCATTAACCATAAAAAATTAAAAATGCAACAAAATGAATTTATGATTATAACAGCCTACAAACCTGTCAATATCAACATTTCAGATCAACTTATTAAACAGTTTCGAACTGCATGTACTGTAAGAAACAGAAAACTTGAGAACAACAATTATTTTATAGTCTTTAGTTCTGAAAAGTCACTTGCTATTCACAGAGCTATGTTTATAAAGGGCACTGTATCAATATTAAGTTAACAAAGTGTAATCAAGTTTAAAGTTTTGCAGACACTGTAACAAATTTAAAGAAAACAAATTATTAGTGCACAAACTTCTTATAAATTTTGAATATTATTTCAATATAATAAAGAGTAAAAAGAAATTATTTTTTTTTAAATACAAATCTCCCAAATTCACTCCAATAGTAGAAACAAAAAACAGGAAAAAACATGCTTTACCAACTAACCCAAAGCCTACAACGTATACCTTAAAATAATTTTTCTCACTGTAATAAGCTACTTACCCCTTTAGCTCTGGCAGGAAATAAAAGAAAGTCTATGTACTCTACAAAAAGACCAGGAGGGGGGGGGGGGGGTAGAAGTAACAAAGCTTTCTAAATATCAATATATTTACTATTTATACAAAAAATACTCACGTCTAAGGAAAACTTATCTTTAATTGAAAATCTTTAGAGAATAATCAGTGGTATATGAGATAGTTGTGGAAGAAAACTACTGTCTAAAGCTGAGTTTATTTGAGATCAAGACTTTATTAACCTAAAACAGGATCCATCACCTCAAAGTCTCACCTAACTGGCTATGTATTTATAATAAGCTACTATACAGCTTAAATTAGGTTAACCATCAGAATGTTTTAGAAACTTAAATTAGTTTCTTTACCTAAAACAAATGACCTATCTGTCAATACATAAAACAGTGTTCTTTCAAATAACAAAAACAAAATTACATGGGAAAATGCATGCTTTACCAAAAACAAAATTTTCAGACATGATTAGATTTGTCTTGGTTTTGAAATGCTGTTATTATTCTTTACAACACTATAAACTACTTTTACTTAGTTTTGCCATTCAAATATTATCTAAAAAAAACTTCTGTAGAATCTCAATCATACATAAATAGTTTTTTGTTGCAATGTATTATGTTGTTACGCACTGGGTTTACAAATAGATTTTTCTGGGATTGACAGATGGCTCACAAACTTATAAAGAACTTGATAATTTAATCTTGGTGTACAAATCATTAAATTATAACAGTTCATATGCTGAAGTTGGGTTACACAATCAAACAAAACAATTTATCAAAGTTTAATTTCTTCTAACTACCAAAACAAGTAATTTATTTCCTATTAAAAATAAAATGTGAAAGAAACCTACCCTAAGTCTCACATAGTGTTTTATTCTTTAAAAATTCCTACATAAACATGCTTAGCATCCATTTGGATTATTTATAAACTCTTTATTCTGAATATTATTGATCATTGTTCTAGCATTAATTAACAGATACTTGTAGATGATATGATATTACATCAAATAGCATTTAAATTATAACATAACCATACTGATTAAACTGATTCATTCTCAAAACCATCAAGTCACTATTATGCTAGCTTTATAATTCAAGCAAAATTCTGAATTTACATTCATTCTTTCATGACAAGGCATTCTATATTCCCTGGAACCAGAATAAGTTGAGAAATTTAACAAAATATAAAAATGTTATACTTTATTGATTTGTACATTTTATTGAAACAAGACCCTCTAGACAATATATCATTATATGATTTGATTTTATTTGTTGTAAATTTTATTCAAACAAGACCCTCTAGACAATACATAATTGTATTTATTTGTGTAATAAAATTACCAAGTACATCCCTATAGTAAGCAAGGTTAATCAAGAATGCAGCCAAAACAATTTAGGGGAAAAAAAAAGTTAGTAATTAACATCTAATAATTAAAAAATAAAATAAAAAATATTAGTAACTAATTAATAATGACTGTATAACCCTAACCAATATTAATAACTAATTAATAATGACCATATAACCCTAACCAATATTAGTAACTAATTAATAATGACCCCATAACCCTAACCAACATTAGTGACTAACTAATAATGACTGCATAACCCTAACAGTGCCAATGGTCCTCCCAACCATACCCTATATTTCTCTCAGCAAACTACATATTTCCTGTATTTATCTGGGTTGTGTCTTCAGAGCTACTGTTAATGATAAAAATTGTTTTATATAAAACCGAACACCACTCTTAAGTTTCACTTTCAGTTTAGCATATACAATGCATTCCTATACATGTGTTCCTTTCTGTCAATTTTTATTTCACACACATTAAAATAATTTGAAACTTATGACACCAAGTCAAACAATACACTTCACAATATTGGTTGAGCAGAAGAAAAATTAATCCAACAAAATAATAGAATTGAAAAAAACACGTGGTAAAACTTTTTAAAACCGCTAACTTACCAAAGGCTTAGGACAGGTTATAAATCTCAAGTGGGACAAGAACGTCCGTACCATAGAAAGAATCTAAACATTCGTTCTTCCTTTTTTTAAAAAAAAATCAGTTTAATACATTCCCAAAAATCAACATAACGTTCTACATTATACTGTTCAAAAAATTTTCCTGAAGATAAATATTCCTCAGCACAAACACTCAAGACATCGTTATCTTCCGAAACACAATTATTCTAGGAAAGAGATGACGTCAATAATGGAGTAAACCGATAACGCTTCATTCATAGACGTCATATAATATTAAAAACTAGATGGTGAGCTCATCATCAAGGATGAATGGGATTCACGACCATAAGTAACGCTGGCTTGAAATGCGAATATTCACTGGAAGTAAGTAGAACGCAGCAGCGACCAGTCGGCCCCAAGTTACACAGAGATCTGACATAAGAACGTACGTACTGCTCTGTTTGTCGCCAGAGTAATCTGCGTACTGTATTTTAAGCACACAATCCTCACGGCAAAGCTTTACGCAAGTCTTGTGAACAAGTCATACGGAGTTTATTATTATTTTAAATAACTCAACCGTCCCCACCCACTTGATATGTGACTTGCGCAGTACCATCACTTGACGCCAACTTGTACTGCATTCTTCGCGTCTCATGCAAGGACGGACACTACACGGTTCCTGCGTTCGCTCTCGTGAATCTAATATATATATATCCATTGTAAGCGACTATGTGAAAGTTTATTGCGGCCATTTTTCTTGATGACTGCATAATGGTAAATCAGGCAGCTTCAAATAATATACTTTATTTAATATTTTTGTCTACTTTCTGCTGATGCATTGATGATGATGAAATAGTTACCGGAACGAATGAAAACTACTAGCTTTGCAGTGTTTATTTTTACAATTTGGAATTTGATAAACAAAATTCGGAGAGATCGCCATTATTTCGTAAATATATGACTGCACTTTGCTTATTACAGTATACTGTAACAATTATACGGCAACAGGGTACCGCAAGTCCATCGTAGTTAATTTTACAGTATGTATAACACAGTATTGTAACAAGCAAAACAAAAAGTATCGGCTGTTTCTCATTGTTAATTATTTACAATGTAACGATCATAACAACCGTAAATATAAATAGTCCAACTTTAGCTTTGTAAATAAAACAATCGGCATAATAACCATGGTATATAAGCTGTAGTATTTGAACGAATAATTAAATTAAATCTACTACAGTACATAGAACAAAAACTATTGTTTATGGATCACACATGTGACGTTTATCTGTTCTTTATTTAGGACTTACTTTGTTAGTTGTTATGTCTATCTACGACAGTAAATGTAGAAAAAAACCATTGTTTATAGGATCCCATAAAAGGTTTACCTGTTCATTCTTTAGGACTTACTTTGTTAATTGTGTTAGTTATAATGTCTGTCTACGACAGTAAATGAGGGGAAAAAACATTGCTTATATGATCCACATGTGAGGGTTACCTGCTCTTTCTTTAGGACTAACTTTGTTAGCAGGTCGGTTGTAATGTCTATCTACGACAGTAAATGAAACAAAAACCATTGTTTATATGATCCACATGTGAGGTTTACCTGCTCTTTCTTTAGGACTAACTTTGTTAGCAAGTCGGTTGTAATGTCTATCTACTTTTATTAATTTTAGTATTTAGATTATTTTGCATTGTAGCTTATTAGATCAACTTAGAAAACTTGTTTACATAATCTATAGGAAAGTTAGGTTTCTTCTTTCTTTTGTGTTAATTTCGTTGACAGTGTTAGTAGGAATATTTAATACATATATTTTATCAATTTTAATTTATCACAGTACGTTTACTATAAAAATAATTAGTTGTTGGCATATTATATGGATTCACGATTACCGTAAATCTCCTATTCTGGTCGGATCTCGAATTATTTTGTATTTACAGCTGAAAATATCGTTAACAGCGAGAGTACTCGATGAAAAAATGCATTATTTCCTTTATAAATAGAAACTCAAGAATAGTCTACTTGGATAGTTGTACTGTCTGCCCGTTTGAATTCCTTTTCTATTTGACTAGATAACTTGCTTTAAACAGAAGTTTATGTTAATATAATTACTCTCGCATTGTCAACTATGCAGAGATCGCGTACCCTCGCCCCGACGCTCCTTATCGAGATTGCATGCGTTTATATTTGCTTGTTTGTAATTAAGCACAAAACTACACAATGGACTATCTGTGCTCTGCCCACCACGGATATCGAAACCCGGTTTCTAGCGCTGTAAGTCCGCAGACATACCGCATTCATATTGGATGACGTCAAATTTCACCCTCGAAAACTCCGAAAATCTTTCTCAGATCCAGAAAGATCAACGATCCGGATTTTTTTTTTCAGTGTGATGCGGTGCCCAAAACCGTGGGAGAGGGTAACAATTACAACAATAAACTGTCGCCAGTCTCACTGTTAATTCTTTACAACATAACAATCAGAACAATGAAGAATCATTAGACTCTCGCTGTTGGCTTCTTACAACATAACAATGGGAACAATGAAGTATCATTAGACTCTCACTGTTAATTCTTTACAACATAACAATCAGAACAATGAAGAATCATTAGACTCTCGCTGTTGGCTTCTTACAACATAACAATGGGAACAATGAAGTATCATTAGACTCTCACTGTTGGCTTCTTACAGTATAACAATGGGAACAATGAAGTATCATTAGACTCTCGCTGTTGGCTTCTTACAGTATAACAATGGGAACAATGAAGTATCGTTAGACTCTCACTGTTGGCTTCTTACAGTATAACAATGGGAACAATGAAGTATCGTTAGACTCTCACTGTTGGCTTCTTACAGTATAACAATGGGAACAATGAAGTATCATTAGACTCTCACTGTTGGCTTCTTACAATATAACAATCGGAACAGTGAAGTATCATTAGACTCTCACTGTTGGCTTCTTACAGTATAACAATCGGAACAATGAAGTATCATTAGACTCTCACTGTTGGCTTCTTACAGTATAACAATGGGAACAATGAAGTATCATTAGACTCTTACTGCTGGCTTTTTACAGTATAAACATAAAACAAGAAAACATCACGCACTACAAGTCTCTCATAATATATCAAATATGTGAACAAAGTATCATTAAAGTCTCATATAATAGTTTCCTTTAGTCAAACCACATCCACGCATATCAAATTATTAGTTTCTGTTTCCCATTTTCTATTTTTGATCGAAATGTGTCAAAATGAGCATTTTATTAAAGTTACAGGCCAGACCTGCCCTTAAGACTAGTTTATATAGGTTTTGTTTATATTGTGCATCCATTAAATCTTCATTTTCAAATCATATGTATTTAGTTCTGGCTGTGTGACACATACTTGACACCGGATGTAACTGTTTATTATGCTTTGACAATAACCCTTTTATTTCCCAAAATCTCAAGATCAGGTCAATGTCATGAAGTATTTTATGCAATATGACAGATTAGAAACAAGTTCACCCTCCCCAACACATATCTAAGAATTTAAGTTAATTTAGTGAGTAAAATATCATGTTATTTCACTAAGTGCCCGAGTTCGAATAGGGCATAAGTGAAAGACTCAGAGCAGTTACAAGGAAACTTCTTTAAGCATTTTTTGAAATACCGCGAATCATTATAGTGTTGACACATTAAAAGGTTTTTCACTCTCAGATTTCAGTAAACAAGCATTTTGAAGTTGTGTGTCGCTAACTTCTCCGAAAGTGCGAGTTAGGTCTTGATGTACCACAGCACTAACCAGACAAATAGCGATCATTGTAAATTCATATTGTTTAGTTTAGGTATTACTGTAAGCTTTATTATATGATGGACATAAATAAAAAGATTCAGTGCGATATTAAAAGAAAAAAAACAAAAACATGTGCATAGCTCCAAAAGATTTTACAGCGCCAACTTACGACGATTATGGGCCCTATGGGTAAGAATGAATAATCTGAAGTTTAAGACCATTTTAGGTACTCAGATTATATATCGACTCACATACAAGTTATCTTCAGCTTGTAATAGAACCAAAAAACAACATACGGTCAATTGACAAACTGATCACACTATTTCAAATCAGTAAGAGTGAGAGTCACTTCAGTTTTGTTATATTATCTGACTAAAAGCAATGCTACTGTCATACAAAACCTTGGCAAAGGCTCGAAATCAGATCTCACACTTTCGTATGCTTACTAAGCATATCCCGTCACCGAACATGCTCGCTCTTTAAAGCGTGGGGGCGTTATAATGTGACGATCAATCCCACTATTCGTTGGTAAAAAGTAACCCCAGTGTTGGCGGTGGATGGTATGTTGAACAGCTGTCTTCACTCTAGTCTATTACTTCTTTATTATAGAGGGCTAGCGCAGATAGCCCTCGAGTAGCTATGTGCAAAATTCAACAACAGATACAAAGCAAATCGTCGTAACACTGGTGTTCTGGCTGTGCCTTTTCTATATCTATATATCAATACAGAAGAATTTATTCAAAACACTTTATTCAAAATTTTCAGCTGGCTCAACTAAAACAGCTTGTTTTGGCACCCAGCCAATATTATCAACTGTAAACTTCTGTTGAATGGGATGGCATTAGTTTACCTCAAAAATAAATATTCTAGTACAGTCTCATAGGTGGTCTCTCATGTGTCCAATACGTCAGAGCATGTGCAAAGGATGAAACACTATCGTGTATACTATTACTAGACCATTCTTACGATGCTCGCGTAAGCGATAATCTTTGTTTAGTATGCAAGGTACATATATATGCATACAGATTAATGCATAAGCAGCACACTTATTATACATTGTGTGTGCCTATCACGCCATTATTTCATTAAACAAATGTGTGCAAATAATAACTCTACTGCATGCTGTATGTTACTGCAAGAGTTCTAACAAACTAATTGTATCTGGGACCAGCAGCTTGAACTCTACAAAACATGAGTTTCCAGAGAAACTTTAAAAAATTGCTAGATGTCGCTATTTAAATTCTAAAGGCCTAAAAGAATGTCACTAAACAAAATCTATATAAATCTTTCTCCCTCTCTCTCT